ATATAATATTCGGGCTGCTCAACTCAAAAATCCTACCCACAGCCCCCCCAAGTTTGACAATAAACATGTCGGCTCGTATGGCGGTTTCCCTTCCGGTTGTTTATCCAAAAAAAGGGGAAAGCGCCCGTGAAATGCTAATTTAAAACCGCCACATCGATAAGCCATAAATTTACGAAACCACGGGTTTTTTCATGTTCTTTAGGACCCAACGCTACATACAGCGGTACACCAGCATACCAACCCCATTCTACCGCGAATTTTTACATGGGACAATTACGAATCCTTAAAGCCGGTAGCGGACACACTAGTCCAGCGGTCGTTTTGGACAACGACCTACCTTGTAAAATACCGGGGGATATATCGGCCAAACCTAATAGAGTGGGCCCGGAATAATTTGCCACCCCAAGCCAGCCGTCGACGCCGGGCGTTTTTTCAATCACGCATGTTGAAACGCAGAGCGCGTACCCCACCTTGCTGTGCTAACAGTAATGGAACAGTGTAAACCATGTCATTATGCCATTCAGCATACTCTAGCATACTGCATTCAGACCCGCAGCAATGCTGAGAGGGTCTATGTCCCCGCAGGACCCTTCTTCTTCTTTTTTTCTTTTTTTTATCCGCCGGAACGTACCCTGCCCCGGTAGTCAGGTTCACGACCACGCTACCCCTGCGTACTCCATCCACAGGAGCTAGATAATAATCTCCCCCTAACACATTGTGTTATTATCTTACTCTTGGTACTATCTAATATGCCCGCGACCGCTATACCTCCTATTGCACCCCAGCATCGCCTACATTATACATAATCTACATTCTCTTATGCCGGGGTACCCTCTTAGCTTCCCCCATGAGCTACAGCCCTGCGTGCAGTTATCGAAAACTGATACATCTGAATAAGGAACGCTACGAATATGAAGCTTCAACAAATTTTTATCACACATAGATAGTTCAGCGCGACTGCATGACAACGTCACACAGCCAAATCAACGTCCAACTCAGCTGCCTGTTACTATAGGAAATTAATATAGGATAATATGCTTCTCTATTAAGTGCCTCATATATTTCTTGCGTCTTTGCAATGTCCAAAGGCGATGTCAATGCCCAGCATACATTGCCCTTACCTGTGTAGCCTCCCTCCACCTGTGGTGGCGTGAAGCCCCCATGGGGCAGAGCCACGCCAAATACCAGCTCGATAACTGTGTAGCTCCTCACAGTGTGAGCGTGAAAGCCCCACATAGGCAGAGCCACGGCAAATACTAGCTCTACCTCGTGTAGCCCTCCCTCCACTGTAGGTGGCCGTGACAAAGCCCCGCATAAGCCAGAGCCCGGCAATACTAGCGCTACCTGTTGTAAGCCTCCCTCCACTTGTGGCCTGGCGTGAAAGCCCCCCATAGGCAGCGACCACGGCAAATACAGCCGCTCACCTGAGTAGCCTCCTACCACTTGTGCTGCGCGTGAAAGCCCCCATGGCAGAGCCACCACATACCATAGCTCTAGCCGTGTAGCTCCCTCCAACCTGCTGGTCGGCGGAAGCCCCGCATGGGCAGGAGCCACGCGCAATACTAGCATCTACCTGGAAAATGGCAGAGCGAAGGGCTATAGTTCCAGAGCCACGGCAATACGTGACCGTTTCCCGTACATAATTATAGGCAAACTGGAAGCGCGAAACATTTTCGAACGCAAATGACACTTATTTGCGTTGCGGACGTCACGTACTGTAACCTATATGTCGTGGATTCCGGATATCGTCTCAGTGTGGTTTTCACAACGAACAACTAAAAAATTCGAGGCTCGTTTTCTAGGTGCCCAAAATTTTCGAGGGCTTACTTCTGACATTTCGATGGCTACTTTAATCAGTCAAATTAAGTTCATTCGGCTTCCCAATGGCTTATGGTATCTCGGAGTTCACGCTGAACCCAGTCGTAAATTTTACGGAGGGGGGACGCTCTTTCAACTTACGCGACGAAACAATCGCCACTTCCATCGATATTTCGCCGGGCATTTCGAACCTAACGACGGGCGAATTCGACCGCAGCCCCCGACCTGTAGTCTTCATTAGCTTCGTCGCACAACAGCAACAACTAGCAGCGGTTTGCTCTACCGTGATATAACACATTTCATGTGTTTGATTTTTTTTTAGCAAGCTGCATGAGTCGCAATCGAGTTCTAATACGCAAAGACCCACGACCTAAGCCTACGCCCTAAGACAAAACTTACGAGCCAAACCCAAAGCCTAAACCTACGACCTAAGCCGTGTGGGTACAAACGATGGGTTAGCTAAACGATGGCCTTGATGGCAACATGTAGGCCTACCTTCGCACTAACGTATGAGGTACATACCTACTAATATAATAATAATAATAATAATAATAATAATAATAATAATAATACAGGTTTAAAACGCCAGCGTGTAATAAATGCTTACACCGCTGGGTAAGGAAAAATGCTCTTGCACTGCGTCATAAACTCTTATCAAACCGAACAAGGAACTGCGGGCCACTGACGAACGGCGTGCAACGAGATAGGAACGCCAGACATGTCGATTTCAAGTCAAGTAGATCAAAGTGTTGTCAAATACCGTGTGGGAACGTTTAACGGGGTTGTGTGCTGCGTTACGGTAAGTTAGAGTTTATGTTAAACCTGGGGTACCATGAAGAATGGACGGACGGACGGACGGTTGGACGGAGAGACGGAAGGGCGGGCGGACGGACGGACGGACGGACGGACGGATTGACGGACGGACGGACGGACGGACGGACGGATTGACAGACGGGCGGAGAGACGGATGGATGGATGGATGGACGGACGAACGGACGGACGGACGGAGGGAGGGAGGGACGGACAGAGAGAGGGAGGGACGGACGCACGGATGGACGCTTCTTTCCCTCGTCTACCTTCTCCTACCTTCAACCTTATTTGACCTTCTCTTTTCGCACAGTGGCAAGAGAGGATCCCAGGTGACCTCGCCCTCTCCCCCTCTCCCAAGAGTCAAAGTGGTTTCCTTTCCCCGTCACCTTCTCTGCGCCACGTCCTCTCACTCCCCCAGCTTCACCGCTCCTCCTCGCCTCAGAATCTCTCTCGGAGGTCTCGACCATGCCGGAGTTTGAAGGGAAGGATTATCCCAACTACCGCCACGCCCTCTATACGTGATTTCGCGTACTAACGACGCGAAATATCGGCGAACACCAGCAGATGAACATCGACCAATCACCAGCGTTGACACCCGTGAATACACCTGGAGGGGGGGGCATCCGCTCATGGCAACACGTAGAGGGGGGGAGGGGGGCATCCGTCCATAGAAATTCTACACGCTACTATAGAAACAACATACAGTGATATTTCCTGTACGACACGATCAGAGCATCAATGCCTATAGCAACAGGTGAACTGGTCGCAAACCGTCGCTATCA